TGATGTAAAATGTTGAGACTGACAAACTTCCAAGACTGAGCACAAATTATTGATACACTCTGTACAGCACAAATAAGAATTACATGTACTCAAGTACAGGAGTACAGTGAAGAGTGTACAATCTCACCACTTGTACATTTATATAGCGCCTTTCAAACTGAAATGCCTCAGCGTTTTATATATTGTAATAAAATCTCTCTCATTTTGGGTTTAATTCTCATTCAAACGCAAATAAACAAAACTGGAATGGTATAATCCTTTGCATTTGCCACCTAAGTATCACTATTGAGAACTGGGAGCATTGAACCAATATTAGTTGTGGGATTTTCAGAGGGGTGCCACAAACTTTGATTCACTAATGTCAAACACACCAACATGGTTCACATGGTCAACCCAGATGGAGTTTGTATATACATCACTTCAAAATGTTAACTTTATCTCTCTTTCAACTACCTGCCAGAAGTTAGGATTGACAAATGTTTTCTATAGTTTTTGAGGAAGACAAGTTCACATGGGTGGAATTATCCCATTATTTTGTAGTTATGAGAACTGAAGCTGCTATTAGAACCAAATGCCCGCAAAGTAGAAAATTCTGATAGGTCATTTGAGCTGCCTTCCTAATGTGGGAACATGGTCAGCTTATTTACACAAATTCAGTTTCTAATAGCTGTGGGGCCAATAATGAATGAGCATAATTCAAGGCCCCAGTGAATACAAAATGCATAATCTTTCCACGAACAGGATAGGAAGGTAGGAGCAAGGCCTTTCAGCCTCTCAGGTGCACTCCTATCATCATCCCACCTATCTTCCCCACCCCTCCTCTCTATTTATTTCTGAGCTCCCTGTCCCCTCCCCATTTCTGAAGAAGGGTTCCGACCCAAAACGTCAACTTTCCTGCTCCCCTGAGGCTGCCTAGCCTGCTGTGTTCTTCCAGCTCCACACTGTTATCTCTGACTCCAACATCTGCAGTTCTTGCTATCCCAAAGATTCACTATTCTCTCTGTAACAAAATTCCTCCACATCACAGTCCTAAATAGATTGCCCTTAGTATGCAACTGTGCAACTATGCACCCTGGTTCTATACCTTCTCCCACGGCTGATAACATTGTCTGTTTGAACATTCTTTTAATAAAAGTAATCCACCATAGGTGCCCAAATATTGGAGCAAAGCGATAATGTTGCGATTTAATACCAGCATTCTGACTCTAATTCTGAATGTTTTATTGATGTGAAAGTAATTGGTTTCAACTGAATGAAACATTTATTAACTAGAACTGATATCTCCACCTTAATAATTTTAGAAATTCAATGCAAGCTTTGAATTACATAGCAGACATAAGTAAATTACTTGAGATTTTTAAGAATTAACTAATTGTTCAATTTCAAACACAAGAGGGTGCTGCAGATTTATTGTCTGGGATTCTGTAAATGCTGCAGATATTACACCAAATGTTCTGGACAACATGGCTTCAGAAACGTATGTTTTTGTTTTAAGCACATAATAACTTCAATATATTTCATGTTCACAGATTTTATTGTAAGTGAGACATTAATTTAGAACACAAAGAATATAGCCACTGAACTGAGCTGCTCAATTTTGGGATTTTAGTACTGAGCTTCTGTTGTCTGAGGGTAGAAAAATCTCAAAGCTCCAAGCTCCATTTTCAATTAAAATTGCATTTGTCAAGGGAAGGAACATCAGGACCTTGAAAGTCAGATGGACTGGGGCAGGATTTTGAAGCTTTGAAGAACATTGGAACATCCTATTGCAATCTTAATTAACAGCATATAATTGAAATGACATTCTAATTGATTATTCTCAGATATGTACAAGATATTTAAAGTTATATGCAATTATCTGTGCCAATGTAATAAAAGGCTGGTAATTCTTCATCCTCCAAAGCTTCCTGACTAGTAAAACTAACATTATCACAGCTGACTGCTCAGATCATTAGGGCTGTGGAACAATTCCACATCTTTATATAGCACAGAACCCATGGAAGACTAAAGAATGAAGGAGAGGGGGACAATACCTATGGCGAGAGAACGTGAACAATATCAGCTAATGTGGGAGCCAGGAAGGGAATTTGGGTGTTCAGGTGTTTACCTGGATGAGGATTGAATGAAAAGTGGTGGATCTCATGATCAAACTTGAGTCTTAGAGGGTATAAACGGAAGTAGGAGAGAAATTGGAAAAAGTTACATATACATGGTGGTAGGGGAATGAGCTTTGAATGGACTACTGTAAGGGATAGAAGTGACAGAGCAACTGATCAGCTGTCTCACTCTTGATGACCAAGAAGTGTGGAAGTTCCTCACAATTATTGCTGGGAATAAAGGTGGAGGTGACAGGAGAGGGGGACATAAGAAGAAGTTGCAGAGGGAAGAAGTCTGGGCTAATCTGAACCAGAATGAAGAGATTTTCCTCAGACAAGATGTGTGTTTGTGTGGTTCAGCCAGATCTGGTGGTCAATGCCTACATGATCTACACTAGTACCAAGTCATATACATCGCAGTTTTAAAATTCTCAGCCTGACACTGAAAATATACACTTGCTTTTGGAGAGGTAAGTGAGTTTGCTTACCAGGTTAAAGATATTTTAAGTTGTGCTGTTGGTTCCGATGATGTGGATCCTTCAATGTGGAGCAATCAGGCTGAGTGAATATGTAGCATGTTAAAGTAGTAACAACAAAGTGAGACGTTCAACGTATCAAGTAGAGAAACTGAAACTTGTCTAATTATGAAAGCTCTTGTTTCTGAAGTGACTCCAATTTTTGTTACCTCTATATTCTATCTGCGGATACATGTTATTCTATTCAGCCCTAATCTGACTTTCATTTGTAGGTGAACAGGTGGCAGATGAAGTTCAACTGAGAGAAATATGAAGTGAGAGATAGTAGGAACTGCAGATGCTGGAGAATCTGAGATAACAAGGTGTAGAGCTGGATGAACACAGCAGGCCGAGACGCTTCTTCAGAATGGGGGAGGGGAAGGGGGTTCTGAAATAAATAGGGAGAGAGGGGGAGGTGGATAGAGGAGAAGATAGGTGGAGAGAAGACAGACCGGTCAAAGAGGCGGGGATGGAGCCGGTAAAGGTGAGTGTAGGTGGGGAGGTAGGGAGGAGATAGGTCAGTCCAGGGAGGATGGACAGGTCAAGGGGGCGGGATGAGGTTAGTAGGTTGGAGATGGGGGTGGGGCTTGAGGTGTGAGGAGGGGATAGGTGGGAGGAAGGACAGGTTAGAGAGGCGGGGACGAGCTGGGCTGGTTTTGGGATGCGGTAGGGGGAGGGGAGGTTTTGAAGCTTGTGAAGAGCAACTCATATTCCGCTTGGGAACCCTGCAGTCCAATGGTATCAATGTGGACTTCACCTCCCCCTCTCTCCCTATTTATTTCAGAACCTCCCCCATTTCTGAAGAAGGGTCTAGGTCCGAAACGTCAGCCTTCCTGCTCCTTTGATGCTGCTTGGCCTGCTGTGTTCATCCAGCTCTACACCTTGTTATCTCAGAAATATGAAGTGATTCACTTTGGTAGGATGAATGTGAAGGTTCCATTTAAAATTCAGGATACAATTCTGAAAGGGGTTTAGGAACAGAGGAACATGGAGATATTTGTCATTGATGATCACAAGACAGGTTGACAATAGTTAAATATTACAGCACTCCTTGGATCTACTAATGAGTACAAGAGCAAGGAGATTGCTTTGAACTGGTTCCACATCAGCTGGAGTATTGTTTTGGAGAGAGTACAGAGAGAAAAAAAATCACACCAATAGTACTCAGGATGGAGGAACTTCAGATATGGAGATAGACAGGGAGAAGTTGGATCTGTTTGCTTTGGAAAAGAGAAGGCAGAAAGGAGATATGCAGAAGTATGAGACGTTTGGACAGAGTAAATTGACAAAAGAAGGCCACAAATTCAAAGTAATAAAAGCAGAAGGGTCATAAGGAAGAGATAACAAGGTGTAGAGCTGGACGAACACAAAATCGTCCAGCTCTACACCTTGTTATCTCAGATTCTCCAGCATCTGCAGTTCCTACTATTTCAGGGCCATAAGGAAAACTGTTTTCCCCATAGCAAATGGTTAAGGTTTGGAACACACTGCTAGCCAGTGGAAGCAACTACAAACTCGACATCAACAAGCTGGTTTAAACAGGATCAGAAACTGATCTGCTCCCAGTGTGTGTTAACCATTTTTGTTGTAGATGGGGATGACGGAGTCATCTCGGTCTCTTGCTGCGATGGGCTCCGGACTCACCTGTCAATCCGCAAAGGCACGACCCCGCCTCCCGCGCGCTCCGTCCGGGTCCACGGCTGCGCGCCCCGCGCACCCACCTCCTTCCCCGCGCGCGCGCATCGCTGTCGGCTTGTCCTCTCTGTCTTTCCCAGCGCTGCTGCTGCTGCTGAGGCGGTGGAAAGCGCTCCGCTGTTATTCTGACATGAGGGAGTTGTAGAGACACAGCGTCAGGACAACTGCACTTAGCAAGAGGTGAGTGAGGGGGAAAAAAATCGCACCCCCCCCCCACCCACAAAACAAAAACAAACTTTTTGCTTTCGAACTGACCAGAGAGACTTGTCTCCTTTCAGACCTGCGAAGGGCAGGGAAAAGTCTGGTTGAAAGTTGTTGATTTTCACGGCATTTCACTGCAACTTGTTGCGATTTGTGTTCAGGGGTGAGCTGCAGGCGTTCAGTCACCGGCGTTAACTGGGGAATTAAATTCGGGTGTTTCTCCAGTTATCGCATTGAATCGGGTTGATACTTTTGTTTTGGTGAGTGGAGTTACATATTGCTTTTAGCTAGTTTAGACGGCAGGGGACTTGCAAACTCGGAATGTTACCAAGGTCACTGCTGACCAGCCATTTGTGAAAGGTGTTGGTGCCAGGTCGCGAACGTGCTACAACATTCTTTGGGTAAATGGATTCAGTCTTAAAATGAAAACTGTTTGGCTGTTATTGACCGTGATTTTCTCTTCCTTCATAGTGCCCTGACCTCCGTCTTTCAAGGTCTGGTTTTGACTTTTGTGCAGTTGTTTTTTTTTGGAGGAATTCAAACTATTATCTATTTTGAAAGCTGAGTCATTTTGCTAAGAAAATCTTGACTTATTTTCGCCAAATTCACAGGCTGCTGACTTTGGTCTGTATCTAAAAGTAGTTTCTTTCTATTGAGTATGCACCGATCCCAATTTAAATCTGAAACGCATTTAATTTGGACTGTTATTAAAATGTGAAATATTTGAATCTAAAATTTTAATGTATGTTCAAAGCATGGACAGTCCTATTTTTAGATGCGCTTGATGTTAGAATGAATCGAAAAATCCACTTGTAAGAAGAGAAATGTTTACTTCAAACTACGTTTATAATTTGCAGGTACAGTGGCTGAAAATAAATTATGCATTATCTACATATGCTTCTAGGAAATTACAAATTGTAAAACTGATCAAAATTAGAATAGTGCCTTAATTGTCAATGGATTTAGGTTCAGTTGACAAGTCTGTTATATCCTGCATTTAAGTTAAACTGGCGGGAGAGGTTCATTCCGAAAAGTAGTGGTGGTGTTGGCATCCAGTGGGAGAGTACCTGAGCCATATGTTCCAGGAATATCATCTGATTGAGCCCTGATCTATGCTTTGCCACTTGATCTCAACTGCCAAGGTGAAAATTGGGGAGTAAACAGCAAACAAAAACCCAGATCATTTCATTCAGCGCCTTGACCTTGGATTTGTTCAGACAAGTGCATACCAAAGCAGAGTTACAAGGATGTAACACAGTGTACAAACTCAGAAGATAGCACAAGAGTACAAAGCTTGAGTAATTGTGAATGTCATCTAAGCTCCTATGTATGACAATGAGGTTTTTTTTGGTACCAGTTTTTAGCATATCTTGCAGCTGGCTTGTTCCCAAGCCAACAATACTGTCTGAACAATACGAGCTTTCTATTACAAGGGTTGTTCTAACAAGCTTGGTATTTTAAAGCATATTGTTGGATCATTTGGATCTTTTACCTGAAGTCTGCAATATTTTTTGTCTGAATCACAGGGTTCAGCAGTAGCTCTGTCTCTAGTATGATGCCTCATTGTATGAAGATTGTGGGTTTAATGTCCAGTCCAGAGACTTGTGTAGAAAGGTCTATTCTGACACTCCAGCACACAACTGAGGGAGTACTACACTGTTGGGATGGATGGTGCTGTCTTTCACATGCAAAGTTAACTGAGACTGCATCTGCTTTGTCAAGCAGATGTACCATTTTCAAAACAAGCAGTGGAGTGATCCCCAGTACCCTTGCATATACTGACATGCCAAAAATATAATCATTGGATTATTATCACTTGGGTGTTGAGAGAGCGTGTTGTGCTTAAATTGACTGTCACGTTTTTCTGCATCTAACACATTCAGAAATCTTAATTTCAATCCATACCCTAAATTGCATTTATTTTTGTTCACCCTTTAACCTTGTGCTTATTCATCAATATGCCAAATTAACAATTTTATCTTTATATCTTTAAAAAGGTCCTGCTCATTCCTACTTCTCAAATTCTCGGGCCCTACAACTCCATCAATCCACACCCCCCACCCCGCCCCCCCCTCCCCACCAGTTGAGGCTGAAACAATGTTTTCTCTACAGGTTAACATAACTTCCTTGTTTTTGTCCTCTATGCCCATATTGACAAAACCTAAAATGCTTTATGCTTTTCTTCAACCCTGCATTCAACCTTCACTGCCGCCTTCAATGATTAGTGCACATATATTTTTGCTCCTGCATTCCCTTTGAAATTGTACCCTTGAATCTATATTGCCTCTTCCCCTTCCTATCAAGATGAATCTCATGAGGCATTTGAGGCCTAATC